CATGCTTCCCTCCACATTCTTAGCTTTCTTCATGTTTCTCTGACCTCTGTGCCTGCCCGAAAGGTGTAACTTTCTTTCCATCTTTCTCTTCCTGGAAGGTTGAATTTTCAGCTTATCTACCCTGATAATTTTCTCTTAAACAATAATAAAATTCTTCCTAAGATTCCTTTTCAGACTTAGAATCCACAGAGGAGAACCTGCCTCTCCGTAACAACTGTGGGGCTGTCCAGTAGAATGTTCTCTGCTAATACAGGTGTTACGTTCAGCATGGTAGCTGCTATCCACAAGTAGCCAGAGCCCCAGTGCTCCCCTTTTCCTTAGATTACTCTCCGGGCTGGCAGACGGGTGCTTTCTGGCCTGATGAATGATCACGGAAGTTCCTTGAATTAGAGATGGAACAGATCTTGAGTTTCGAGTACCAGTGCTTTACTTAGTGTGCACTGTGGAGACTGCAGAGCAAGAAGGAGGCTTGCTTCTTACCGATTTCACATTTGCGTTTGCATTTTCTTTCAAAGTAGCACATTAATATTTGCATGGCTAGATCTTTACACCTGGACTGCTGACATCTTTGTACACAAAGAAGAACTAGATCCAGCTGTCTCGCTTGTATGAAAACGAAACACCAGCGCTGCAGTCAGGTGGCCTGGGTTTCAGACTGAGGTCCAGTTTTAACTTCATTTATTGTTTGCTCCTTTTAGTGTTTTTGAAAAGAAGTTATTACTGTATTTTCTTTTTAAAAATACCATTTCTGTTTGACTTAGCTTGCTACCCATGTGCTATGTTCACTCTTAAAGAATAGCTCTGCTCTTCTTTGTGGTTTCCCAAGGTACCTTCTCCTTTCCCTCACTTGCTGGGAAGCCAGCCTCCTGCTTACATATCTGTGATGCATGTTAGCCTGGCATGGTCCTTGCTCCTGTGCATTCACAGATCAGCTGCCCTAGCTCAGATGTAGGGGTGGACTCCTTACACTGAGGTTGTAAACCCATGTAGGACAGCTTCTCAATGAAGCATTTTCTACAGGTCCAAGCTCTCTTGGGGTCTAATGCTTGAGATTCTAGGCACGGAGATAGTTAGATATTCTGAAGCACATTTATTTTTTGACTTTTTCAGAGTACTTGTGATCAGGGAAATTAAAAACAAAACAAACAAAAAACCACCCTTTAATGATAAGCTCAGTATGTAGTTAAGCAATATATTGTATAGAAACAAGCAAAGACTAATCATATAATTTATTGTACTAACATTCTTCAATCATATGGTGTTAGAGATAAGATAAATTATATGGCTCTAATGTGTGTCTGTTATTTGGTTGGTGGCAGGGATGTCAAAGACTAGCCACTGATTATCAACACTTTCTACAACAAGGGCTTATGACTTAATCAACTTATACAAAACCCAGAGATTCTTAAGAGCATCCTCATGGTTGGTTGAACCCAGTAAAGACTGGGAAAATCTACTAGCGTGTTAGTGTTTTTCTAAAAAGTCAAAGACAGAAATGAAAGATACAGTGGTTTTCCTGGAGACATTTTGATAGACTTATTTATTTGAACTGTATGCCAAATGTTCATGCTTGCTTAGTGCCTGTTTGTAAGTTTGATGTGACATTTATATTCACTTTATGATAGTACTGGGTAAATAAGAGTTAGAGTTAAGCTTTTTATCCTTGTGTTTCTAATAGCTACTGCCAGGTGAGCCTTATATGTTAAGATTATCTGATGATAAGGCTGCAACTTATTGGCTCAAAGTTCAAAGGAGAGCCTTAGCTTCAAGGACATAAATCACTGGGTTGTTATCTGCTAATTTGTAACAGAACAGCAGGGAACAGCGTTTATCTAGACAATCTAGTATCTGCCTGCAGTTTGAGGCTGAGGTCAGCTCTGTGGGCTGAGGCCTTTGAACCGTTCTGCAAAGAAGAGGCTCAGATTTATTATTTTTTCTCTAACATGAACAGGTGATTCGCTGTCTTTTCTGAAGCTGCTGTTTATTTTGTCCAGTATCAAAGCCTCACTAGAGTCTAATTTAACTATGAAGTCATCAGAGGTGAATCTTGTTATTTAGAGGCAGAATTTCATGGTGTTTGTTTTGTATGTTCATTAATTTTTCTCTACAAGTTGACTGTGAATTCTGTGAGTTCCAGATAGTCTTTTAAAATTTGTAATAGCAAATCTTACAAAGTCACATACTTAAAGGGACTATTAGGGGAAGTTGATTGACTGACCAAGTGAAAAGGCCTTGCAAAGAGGAAGACATAAATGTCCTGTTTAAGTCAGCCTAATTCCAAGACATGCTTACCTTACAGGGAAGCTTGACGTTGTCTAAACAAATGACCCTACTGTTATTGCTTGGCCAGTGACCTGTCTGTTCATTACTTCTGAATCACAGTGTCAGCTAACTAAACAGAAATGACCTTGTAACTATTTCATTGTGTGTTTGTTTGGCTTTGCAATACTGGCTACACTGCTTTTGAGGAATCATCACAGGCGTAATGTGATAGAAGATTTGTAAGAATGTTCACATTAGTTAAAGGACATGCCTTTTTATATTGATTTCATTTCTTTTGTGTGTATGAGCATTTTGCCTGCCTGTATCTAGGTGCACTGTGTGCATGTCTGGTGCCTGTGGACATCTGATTCTCTAGGACTAGAGTTACAGTCCATTGTGAGCCACATGTGGGTGCGGGGAATTTTACATGGGCCCCTGCAAGAGTTAAATTCTGAGCCATGTCTCCAGTCCCAGCTTTACCATTTCTAAGGGTGCCCTTCTGTTGACTCTGCCCTCTCTCCTTCCTTCCCCCTTTCCTCTCTCTAGTCGCTATCCTGGTGAGGTCAAACTACTGCATCTTAGTGGTTGGCTTTGCCTTTTCCTAATGATTAGTGATGAATGTCTTCCATGTGCTTATTAGCATTTTTGTTTTTTCTTTGTAGAAGTGTTTAAGTCCTTTACTTTAAAGTTGATCTTTTATGCTTTCTAGCTTCCACTTGTCTCTCTAAGTCTGTCCTCTGGACTACCTTTTAGTTCTTGGGATGTGTCCTTTGATGCACAAAGCCTCAAGTTTCTGTCAAGTCCACCTTACTTAGTTTTTCTTTTGTTGCCTGAACTTTTGTTCCGTACAAGAAGTTGTTGCCAGATTAATTGTCACGACATTTTCCTCATGTTTCCTTCTTACAGTTTCATGGTTTTTGCGCTCAGGGCTAAGTCCTTGATAATTGTGAATTTCATTGTAGCCTGAACTTCATTTCTTTCTCATGTGCATAACTAGTCTCCCTGATGCTGTTTGCTGGGAAGATTGCTGATGTCAGCGCTCTTTCTCATGGCCGACTAACTTCAGGTTAGCTGTTACAGTTGGGACTGCAGTAAGTCTAACCCTCTCTCCTGCCGCCCACTCACGGCCTTCCAAAGCCCTAAAGCTTGTTCATGCTTTCTTCCTGCCAAGGAGGAAAGACCTGGCAGATCTGTTTGCTGACGGTAGTAGCATCACCATTTGTCATGTCTTATACCTTCTTAGATGGTTTTTCGTTTTAGGTTTAATAATCAGCTTTGCTTGTTGAAACTGAGAAGCATTATGGTGTTTTTCTGATGTTTTAAATGACAGCCTTGTTTGTAAATCTGTAATTTTATTTTTAACTCTTAACCTGTCTTAACTTTAGGTTATTATTCTGTAAAATGAAAGGGTTGAAATAAATATCCTGTTGTATATCTTCTACTGTGAATGATTTCAAGACACTTATATATGCCTTTTTGCCAATTAATAAAAATTCAGTAGACAGTAGAAGTTCTGTCTTATGCAAGGAATACATTAAAATTGATATAGTAGAATGTTATCTGTATAACTCTGTAGTTGTGATCTTTTTTCCGTATGTGGACAGAAGTTTTGCCATAAATATTTTTAATTCTCTTTAATAATAAAATGTTATAATTTATAGTATTACTACCCCTGCCTTTTTTATGCATAACAGAAAGTGGGCATAACTTAATACACATTAAATTTGCATATAAAAGAAGAGACCCATCTACAGCCAGATGGCAAGGTGTAGAGATGCATTCTCAAAAGGGAAAGAATTCTCAGACTTAGAAAGGGAGAATTTTAGGGTGCTGCCTGTGAGTCTCTCTCTGTTTAACAGGCCCATGATTATATGCTGAATGTGCATATTTATGGTTAAAAGGCCTTTTGTCATCTCATCTATGGTGTTAATTGTATAATTATATAAATTTACATATTAAATATGAGTAGTTATTACCTGTTCTAATTCATTTTATTTCACAAAATTTTTGTTACTGCTGTTTGCCTCTTGTCCTTTTATAGCATGTAGGGCATGCTATAAATAACATAGCATGTGTTATTGTTTATCGAGTATATAATACAATTGTTTCAGTTTGGTTTTGTTTTTTGGCATAGAATTTGGAAGCAATGGTTAACAGACTATGAGAAGGAGACTTTTTATAGCTTTTCAATTTGGAACTATCTGAATGTATTATTGTAGCTGTTAAATATTTAGCACTTAACCTATTTCTGATGAATTGAAGTATTATATTTTAAAACCTTTTCATTTAGAATCTTGACAATCTAGTATTCAAATCACAGTAGTAATTTTGTTTATGCTTAAATGATTTGGTAAAAGATGCAGATTAGATTACTGCTGGCCTTTTAAAACTGAAATAGGAAGTAAGCCTGGCACACACAGTAGCAAGATTTGGAAATGTGTCTTTGAAAGGGGATGTCTTTGGTAAAAGGCTATAAATGTGTCTCCTTTGGAGGTAGATTCAAAAATCATGATAAAATAAATGATGTGCTCAGTGAGCTACTGTTCAAGTAGCAGGAGCTAATGGGAAGTGAATATATTAGCAGCAGATGGACTTGGTTCCCCAATTGCAATCTCATGGGGATTCCTGTACTTAAACTTATTTTTGAGATTTAGAATCTGTCGAGAAGATAGGAACTTACTTCTTTGGTTGTTTTCCTGGGTTCTTACTGTGTCTTTTGGATGTTTTATCTGCACCAGGCTATTTTTATGATTCCCACAAACCCGCCACCAACATTCAGGAAGCCTGAGCTCTGGTCTGACGACTTCACCGATTTTGTTAAGAAGTGCTTAGTGAAGAGTCCTGAGCAGAGAGCCACGGCAACGCAGCTGTTACAGGTCAGTGCCGACACAGAGGGGTGACTTCTGCAGCTCATTCCCGATGCTGGCCAGCCAGCACTGCAGTCTCGTGACCTCCCTCTGAAGACTTGGACTGTGCATTGCGGTGCATGCGTTGAACTCCTCTGCATTTTCTTTGTCTTACGTCTGTTCCCAGTCCATTTTCTTGCTTTTCCATTCTCTCCTCCCTGGGGTTCTTGTCTCTGTAGGTTTATTTCTAAAGGCTTTTCCTTGACTCGGCCTCTCTCCCTGGACTTTGTGCTCCTCTAATATATGTAATATACATAAATCCAAGATCCCTGAACTCCTTGAAAATGTTACATCTTAGAAACACTAGTTACAAGATCACCTAAGGGAAGTTTTAGTATCCCTACTATAAATAAACTTTGTATCCAGAACACCAAGAGGCTTTTTAAAAATATGTGAAATTTAAAGCAAAAAGAAATAACATAATGAACTTGTAATAAGTTAAGTTTGTGGAACTCTTTTTCCTCAACAGAATTGCCTCAGAACTCTCAACTAATAAGTGTGCTTCACAATGTGTCTACAGTATGCCTCATAGTGTGTCTCTCATTAACAAATTTAATAATTTTCAGATACTTCTTACTGTTAAAGGACAAGTAACACTTCCTGTAAAAAAAAAAAAAATCCCTGAGCTACTATTAAAAATAAAATAAAATTGATTGAAGGCTCCATAAAATGCTCTGTAATGCTTATATTTTTTGAAAATTATACATAGGGCTCATTCTTCATGAAGTCAATATTGCAGTATCTATTTTTAAAAATATGTATATTCTTTGTAACAGCAATTTCATTTTAACAGTTTATTCTGAAATATTAACCCTGTGTGAAATTATATATGAATATGATCCATTAAGAGGAGTTACTAGGACGGACACACACACACACACACACACACACACACACACACACACACGCCATAAAGACAACTGGTTATTCAGCGACTCCTTGGGCAGGTCATTGTTAGGGTAAGAGGCAGGAATGGGCTGCAGATTTTCTTGAGTTTTGAGTTATGTTCAAATATTATTTTAAAAATTAATTAGTTAATGATTAAGATGGCAAATTTGGGCCAATGAGATAACTCAGTCTGTAAGGGCACGAGCTGGCCAGTCGGACAGCCACGGTGGAAGGAAAGAACAGATCCCCGAAATTCCTTCCCCACACCCCTGTGTGTGCTGCAGCGTACACATGCAGTGCCCCCCATAGGTAAATTAATTTAGAAATTAAAGGAAGAGGGCTGATGAAGACCCACATGGTGGAAAGAGAAGACCAACGCTCATAAGTGGTCCCCTAATCTGCACATACTTCACATTAAATAAAAAATGTAACAAAATAAAGTATTTTTTAAATTAAAAAAATTTAAGAAATAGTAAATTTTATTTAGGTATATTTTTCCATAATAAAAATTGAAAAACAGTTGGTTAAAGCATTTATTTTTAAAGATTATTAACTTTCCAAGAAAATATTAAACAAACAAATCTTGGTGTCATTATCATAATAAACATGTGGATGATCCAACACAAAAGAAATGATAGAAAGGAAGGTCTGAAAAAAAAAGCAGAAAAAGTAAAACAAACGCCTTAAAATCTGATGGTGAAAATGTATTTGGGGGACTGATCTTTTTTTTTTTTTTTTAAGATAAACTGATTTATTTCTAGCTTTTCCTTCTAGGGGGAAAAATCTTTGTTTTTAAGTTAGAAAGGATGGAAACACTTAAAATATGTCAGTATAATTCCTTATTTTTGTGGAGAAGGTTAGTATAGCCCAGAAAAATTAAATGACTCACTGAAGATACCGTAGTAAGCCCGTGATTATTCTAGACAGATTCCATTTGTTCTATCCCCGTTCTTTAAAAAAGATTTTAATTAAATTTTCTTACTGTATGTGGGTGGGGACGCATGTGAGCCACACACACATGTAGAGGTCTAGTGACAGCTTGTGGGCCGGTTGTCTTCTATGTAGGTTCCTGGTTTAAACACTAACACTCAGCAGGCCTCAGCCCTGCTCTGTGTTCCTTCTGACTTCCTGTAGGTTAACTGAGCTCTGCCATTGTTTGTGCCCGCCCCCGGGCTTGACTGGAACATGGTACTTATGACTCACTCTTACCAGTTGAGGTGAGACGGAGGAGACTTTTATTTTCCTCTCTGACCCTGCATCATGGTATAATTACCTTAGGTATGCCCTCTTTAGTTGACGTATCAGTTCTGTAGTATGGCTTTAAACGTAGAACATTATTGCGGCACTCACAGGAAGGGGTATTCCGTACTTACCCTGCTTTTGTTCTTTCTGTTTGTCTTCCTTACATCATTTCCCTTGTCTACAGAACTATGTTAACTACACTTTTAGAAGTTTTGGTGATTCTCTTAGTAATATTAGGGGCTGGCAGTTTGTTTTCTGCATCACTTGAGAATACGTAGTTAGGGACCCCATGTGTTCCTGTTGTGGAAGGGCCACAGGCAACGTCCATGGGCTCCAGAGACTTAGGAGATGTTTCGTTTGGATGGTTTATTCCATGCTGTCCACTAACTTCTTCTGTTTGGGGCTGGGGTTGGCATAGCTTCTAGAACCTGTTACTTTAAGCCCTCTCCAACAAGTTATGAAATTTTTTCAAATATGTTTTCAGCCTCATCTTGTTTCTTATTTATTGACACAGCATCAGATCCTATATTTCAGTCCAACAGATCCCCAGGGCCAGAGTCGGTCTTACTCCCTCTTTTCTGTACTCCACGTCTTTTCTTGTCTCCTTGTCTAGATTGTGGATTCTTTCCTGTCTTGGTTTTGCTCTTCAACCTATTGATCTAGTTATTTATTTCAGTTACTGTATTTCTCAGTTGTAAGCTTTTTCATGTATCTTTTTTATGTCTTCTGAGTAAGATATTCTAATTTTTCTTTCATTTACAAGCATGTTTATTGCTCTCTGCTTTTATAATGTCCATGTCATCCTGTTGTTAGGGTCTGTTGATTGTATTTTTCCTGTTTAAATTGAGATTTTTCTTGGTCCTTGGTATGATCGAAGATTTTTTTTTTCAGTTCAAAACTGGACATTTAAAGTATCATTGTCTTAGGGTTTCTATTGCTGTGAAGAGACACCATGACCACAGCAACTCTTATAAAGGAAAACATTTAATTGAGGGTGGCTCACTTAGAGTTTCAGAGGTTCATCTATTATCTTAAGGATGGGGAGTATGATAGCCTGCAGGCAGATGTGGTGCTGGAGCTGAGAGTGCTAAATCTTGTAGGCAACAGGAAGTCAATTGACTGTCACTGAGTGAAGCTTGAGAAGAGACCTCAAAGCCTGCCCCCACAGTGACACACTTCCTCCAACAAGGCCACGCCTCCTAATACTGCCACACCCTTTGGGAGCCATTTTCTTTCAAACCACCACAGTCATGCTATTGGACTCTAGATTCTGTCCATCCATCCGTCCGCCTGTCTGTCCATCCATCCTATCCTATCTATCTATCTATCTATCTATCTATCTATCTATCTATCTATCTATCTATCTATCTATCTATCTACTTATCTATCTGTCTATCTATCTATCTATCT